ATACCGCGCTTGCTGGAAAATGCTGGACTGCAGTGACAGGTCCTTGCCTGCCGATGTCCTGGGAATTGGAAGGGCGATCGTGACCCGTGTGTGGATGCGGTCGGTCTGATACATGAGGACTCTTCTGTTGTCATCACCTGCCACGTGTGTCTGGTGGGACGCGTAACGCTACCTCCGGTGCGCGTGACGCGACTTTATGACCGCCGGCCGGATAATAATATCTTGCAGCCCGCTCTCCGGAATGTCAGGCGGCACTTCCAGACGTTTTACAATTTCCCCGGACTCTTCATCACCCGTCCAGGACATCAGCACCTCGACCTCGCTGCGCCGCGCGCCGTAAAACTGTCCATCTCGGATACACAGAACGACCCCCCGCGGTGCGTATATTGGAGGGTCGACCTGATTGGTTTTACTGCCATCTGCCGCGCCACGCGCTGCGACCTCAAAAGCTATTAAAATGTCTCCCTGTAAACAATGTTACTTTGTATCTCTCATCTCCCGTCTGATCGAGTTTTATAAACAATGTTACTTTGTATCTCTCCATCTCCCGTCTGATCGATGTTTATAAACAATGTTACTTTGTATCTCTCCATCTCCCGTATCGATGTTTATAAACAATGTTACTTTGTATCTCTCTCTCATCTCCCGTCTGATCGATGTTTATAAACAATGTTACTTTGTATCTCTATCTCCCGTCTGATCGATGTTTATAAACAATGTTACTTTGTATCTCTTTCCGTCTCCCTCCCGTCTGATCGATGATGTTTATAAACAATGTTACTTTGTATCTCTATCTCCCGTCTGATCGATGTTTATATAAACAATGTTACTTTGTATCTCTCATCTCTCCCCTGATCGACTAAACAATGTTCTGTATCGATGTCTGATCGACCGTTTATAAACAATGTTACTTTGTATCTCTATCTCCCGTCTGATCGACGTTTATAAACAATGTTACTTTGTATCTCTCCATCTCCCGTCCGACGTAAACAATGTTACTTTGATCGATCGATGTTTATAAACAATGTTACTTTGTATCTCTCCATCTCCCGTCTGATCGATGTTTATAAACAATGTTACTTTGTATCTCTCCATCCCCGTCTGATCGATGTTTATAAACAATGTTACTTTGTATCATCTCCCTCTATCCGATGTTTAAAAACAATGTTACTTTTATATGCCGTCTGATCGATGTTTATAAACAATGTTACTTTGTATCTCTATCTCCCGTCTGATCGATGTTTATAAACAATGTTACTTTGTATCTCTCTATCTCCCGTCTGATCGATGTTTATAAACAATGTTACTTTGTATCTCTCCATCTCCCGTCTGATCGATGTTTTATAAACAATGTTACTTTGTATCTCTCCATCTCCCGTCTGATCGATGTTTATAAACAATGTTACTTTGTATCTCTCCATCTCCCGTCTGATCGATGTTTATAAACAATGTTACTTTGTATCTCTCCATCTCCTGTCTGATCGATGTTTATAAACAATGTTACTTTGTATCTCTCTATCTCCCGTCTGATCGATGTTTATAAACAATGTTACTTTGTATCTCTCCATCTCCCGTCTGATCGATGTTTATAAACAATGTTACTTTGTATCTCTCCATCTCCCGTCTGATCGATGTTTATAAACAATGTTACTTTGTATCTCTCATCTCCCGTCTGATCGACGTTTGTTTATAAACAATGTTACTTTGTATCTCTCCATCTCCCGTCTGATCGACGTTTATAAACAATGTTACTTTATCTCTATCTCCCGTCTGATCTCTAAACAATGTTACTCTCCCTCTGATCGATGTTTATAAACAATGTTACTTTGTATCTCTCCATCTCCCGTCTGATCGATGTTTATAAACAATGTTACTTTGTATCTCTCCCTCTCCCGTCTGATCGATGTTTATAAACAATGTTACTTTGTATCTCATCCCCGTCTGATCGATGTTTATAAACAATGTTACTTTGTATCTCTCTATCTCCCGTCTGATCGATGTTTATAAACAATGTTACTTTGTATCTCTATCTCCTGTCTGATCGATGTTTATAAACAATGTTACTTTGTATCTCTCTATCTCCCGTCTGATCGATGTTTATAAACAATGTTACTTTGTATCTCTATCTCTCTGTCTGATCGATGTTTATAAACAATGTTACTTTGTATCTCTCTATCTCCCGTCTGATCGATGTTTATAACAATGTTACTTTGTATCTCTATCTCCCGTCTGATCGATGTTTATAAACAATGTTACTTTGTATCTCTCCATCCCCCGTCTGATCGATGTTTATAAACAATGTTACTTTGTATCTCTCCATCTCCCCGTCTGATCGATGTTTATAAACAATGTTACTTTGTATCTCTCCATCTCCCGTCTGATCGATGTTTATAAACAATGTTACTTTGTATCTCTCCATCTCCCGTCTGATCGATGTTTATAAACAATGTTACTTTGTATCTCTCCATCTCCCGTCTGATCGATGTTTATAAACAATGTTACTTTGTATCCTCCATCCCCCGTCTGATCGATGTTTATAAACAATGTTACTTTGTATCTCTCCATCTCCCGTCTGATCGATGTTTATAAACAATGTTACTTACATACGTGTACCTGTTTATCTGCACACATCTCATCTTTACATCTGTTCAAAGAGCAGAATTCGTACAGCTTGTCTGAACTTCCAGAAAGCCAGGGGGCGGGGAGCTGAGGCAGAGCTCTGAGAGCTGATTGGAGGGAAGAGACACCGCCCCTCCACACAGCACACAGTAACAGAGCTGAGGCTGTCCATCACAGGCTGTGTGCTGGAGCTCCCTTCCCTGTCACCATTTATCTCTTGGTGTCAGGAAAACTTGTCAGAAGTGACTCTAGCTGATAGCAGAGGAAGGAGGCAGCAGACAGAAATGACGCTCAGTGCTATTGACTGAGACAAGGACACACTATAGAGGGATGTGCTTTGTCCAGGCTTCATGTTGGAGGTTCACAACCATGGACTGACAACTCATGGGGCCCCAGGGCAATAGGGGATCATGGGGCCCCTGTGTCCTTGCCCAAACTCCAAAAAGCCTATGAAAAAGGTACCAGGGGCATCTCATGTGGCCCCCTACTGACCCCGGGCCCTCGGGCAGTGCCGAGTTTCCAAATGGTCAGTCCGCCCCTGGTCCTGCACCTTTTTGGTTCGATCAGAGCCATACAAAATGTACGGCTCCGATCAGACCGCACGCAAATCACATGCGATTGGCAGAGGAATGCGGTGTGGTTTCAGGATCACGTGATTGGCAGGGAAATGTGGTGCAGATCCAGAATCACATGCGATTGGCAGGAGAATGCGGTGCGGATCCAGAATCACATGCGATTGTCAGGGGAATGCGGTGCGGATCCAGAATCACATGCGATTGGCAGGGGAATGCGGTGCGGATCCAGAATCACGTGATTGGCAGAGGAATGCGGTGTGGTTTCAGGATCACGTGATTGGCAGGGAAATGTGGTGCAGATCCAGAATCACATGCGATTGGCAGGAGAATGCGGTGCGGATCCAGAATCACATGCGATTGTCAGGGGAATGCGGTGCGGATCCAGAATCACATGCGATTGGCAGGGGAATGCGGTGCGGATCCAGAATCACATGCGATTGTCAGGGGAATGCGGTGCGGATCCAGAATCACGTGATTGTCAGGGGAATGCGGTGCGGATCCAGAATCACGTGATTGTCAGGGGAATGTGGTGCGGATCCAGAATCACGTGATTGTCAGGGGAATGCGGTGCGGATCCAGAATCACGTGATTGTCAGGGGAATGCGGTGCGGATCCAGAATCACGTGATTGTCAGGGGAATGCGGTGCGGATCTAGAATCACGTGATTGTCAGGGGAATGCGGTGCGGATCCAGAATCACGTGATTGTCAGGGGAATGCGGTGCGGATCCATAATCACGTGATTGTCAGGGGAATGCGGTGCGGATCCAGAATCACGTGATTGTCAGGGGAATGCGGTGCGGATCCAGAATCACATGCGATTGGCAGGGGAATGCGGTGCAGATCCAGAATCACATGCGATTGGCAGGGGAATGCGGTGCAGTTCCAGAATCACATGCGATTGGCAGGGGAATGCGGTGCAGTTCCAGAATCACATGCGATTGGCAGGGGAATGCGGTGCGGATCCAGAATCACATGCGATTGGCAGGGGAATGCGGTGCGGATCCAGAATCACATGTGATTGGCAGGGGAATGCGGTGCGGATCCAGAGTCGCATGTGATTGGCAGAGGAATGCGGTGCTGTTCCAGAATCACATGTGATTGACCGCACCTCATGTATGTGAACCGGGACTGAATGAATCCCTCCCAGGGGCGGACTGACAACTCATGGGGCCCCCGGGCAGTAGGGGATCATGGGGCCCCTGTGTCCTCACACACACTCAAACCACACCCAAAAAAGCCTATGAAAGATACCAGGGGCATCTCATGGGGCCCCCTACTGACCCCGGGCCCCGAATGGTCAGTCCGCCCCTGATCCCTCCGGCAGCTGAGATCCACATTCAGGCAAAAGTTGCCTCCTCGGCCACGTCATCGGGTTGGAAGACGAGGATGCCGAGATCTGATTGGAGGAAAAGGACAAGGACACCACATGCGTAAACCCGCCCCCTCCGCCGAAAATGCCGATATTGCCGCGCAGACAGCAAGAAAAAGTACAAATAAAAAATAACTTCATTTTTAATGATAATAATAAAATATGAAAGAATTAATTACTTTTTTGTGGGGGGCCGGGATGGTGGAGGGGGGGGGGAAGCCCCCCCCCGGAGGTCCCCAGCACTGACAGTATTCCTGACGACATGTCCCAGGCTCCACTGCATGCTGTAGTCTGTACACAGGAGTGTCTGCAAAAAGGTGACAACGCTACAACCGCATTACCAGCCCGAGGATCAGGTTGTCACCCTATTAGAGGAAGCCAGCTGTGAGTCGCAGACAAATCTACAGATAACAAGGATAACTATTGTAAAATGTGAGCCATTCAAGTTGTTCCGGCTCCTCCCCTTCAGTCTTGCACAGGTGTACCGGCTCCTCCCCTTCAGTCTTGCACAGGTGTACCGGCTCCTCCCCTTCAGTCTTGCACAGGTGTACCGGCTCCTCCCCTTCAGTCTTGCACAGGTGTACTGGCTCCTCCCCTTCAGTCTTGCACAGGTGTTCCGGCTCCTCCCCTTCAGTCTTGCACAGGTGTTCCGGCTCCTCCCCTTCAGTCTTGCACAGGTGTACCGGCTCCTCCCCTCCAGTCTTGCACAGGTGTACCGGCTCCTCCTCTTCAGTCTTGCACAGGTTTACCAGCTCCTCCCCTTCAGTCTTGCACAGGTGTACCGACTCCTCCCCTTCAGTCTTGCACAGGTGTACTGACTCCTCCCCTTCAGTCTTGCACAGGTGTCCCGACTCCTCCCCTTTAGTCTTGCACAGGTGTACTGGCTCCTCCCCTTCAGTCTTGCACAGGTGTACTGGCTCCTCCCCTTCAGTCTTGCACAGGTGTACCGGCTGGAAACGGAAAATGTATTTTAGATATTTTATTGGGATGTAGCACCCTCCTAGGCTTAGGGAAGGCTGCTATGTATTGCATAGAGAAGCACAGAGACCCAGTGATGATGTCACTGGGACTTAAATAAGGAATATTATGACAACTGAATGGTTTCATTTAAGAAGTTATCAGAGGGGGAGGGGAGGGGGGCGGGTAAGAAGTCAGGGCAATTTTAACTGACCGTTGTGCTGGCGATAGGATTGGTCTTCCATTGGAGCCCTTCCCACGTTTCTAATTTTAGAGCCCAATCACAGTTGTGCGACTTTCCAACGTCACATGACAAGTCGCACCCCCCATGTTTCCTGAGGAGCCCCATTCATATCTGTGCGACTTCCTTAACTGCTTTGGTCCGACTTCCATGTGACTTGAGGGCCATAGATTATCATGAGACCCTTCCAAAATCGCATGAAAGTCACACCTGAATGATATACATGTGACCTGTGCGCGACTTTTCACAGCAGACCCAGTCGCCCCAAAGTGGCACCGAAGTCACACTCATCCAAAGTCGCCCCAAAGTGGCACCGAAGTCACTCATCCAAAGTCGCCTCAAAGTGGCACCGAAGTCACTCATCCAAAGTCAAATCAAAGTCGCACCAAAGTCACTCATCCAAAGTCGCACCGAAGTCACACTCATCCAAAGTCAAATCAAAGTCGCACCAAAGTCACTCATCCAAAGTCGCACCGAAGTCACACTCATCCAAAGTCAAATCAAAGTCGCACCAAAGTCACTCATCCAAAGTCGCACCGAAGTCACACTCATCCAAAGTCAAATCAAAGTCGCACCAAAGTCACTCATCCAAAGTCGCACCGAAGTCACACTCATCCAAAGTCAAATCAAAGTCGCACCAAAGTCACTCATCCAAAGTCGCACCGAAGTCACACTCATCTAAAGTCAAATCAAAGACACACCAAAGTCGCACTGAAGTCACACTCATCCAAAGTCGCACCAAAGTCACACTCATCTAAAGTCGAATCAAAGACACACCAAAGTCGCACTGAAGTCACACTCATCCAAAGTCGAATCAAAGTCACACTCATCCAAAGTCAAAACCAAAGTCGCACCAAAGTCACACTCATCCAAAGTCAAAACCAAAGTCGCACCAAAGTCACACTCATCCAAAGTCAAAACCAAAGTCGCACCAAAGTCACACTCATCCAAAGTTGAATCAAAAGACACACCAAAGTCGCATCAAGTCGCACTGTAAAGTCGCAATGAAAATCTGACAACTTTGAAGTCACACAAGTGTGAATGGAGCCAAAGGGTGACAACGGACCCCGAACCGGCTCATCGTCTGGTGAGCCCCCTGAATAAAGTCGCTGTATCGCAATTCCCCCCCCCCCCCCCCTCGCCGTCACAAGGCAGCCTTCCGTAGACGGCTGACAGTTCTGATTTACAGGAAGTTTCACTTCATCAGCAGCCCTGAATGCGATGCCGGGCCTGTCTCGGCTCCCTCTGGATTCCATGGTTACGAGCGCCAGGGGCCCCGTGCGTTTTTATGGGCAGGATATGCGTACGGTGGGAGCCGGGAGGTGTGAATTGCAGCCGTGCCCACGGGGTAGACGCTCCATCATCCCCTCCCCCCCCCCACCATGACCTGCTCAGGGCTGAGCACAGCTACCAGCCTGGGAAGCGGCTCGGGTCGCATCACTTCTTCTCCATTCCCCATTTGAAGGCCCCGGCTCACACCCGTGCGATCTTTGGTGCGTTTTGCCGAAGTCCATTTAACCTGCTTTCCCAGGGGACACGTTCCCATCTGTGCGTTTTCAGCCGCTGTATTTTTGGAAAGGTCAGGGACTTTTTTCAAGCTTATGCGACTTTTTATGCAACTTTGGGGTCCAAAATCGCATGACAAGTTGCCCCCCTACACATGTTTTCCAATGGGTACCATTCATATCTGTGCGACTTCAAGTTGCAGCGACTTCAAAGTAGTTCCTTCACTGCTTCGGTCCGACTTTCACGCGACTTGGGGGCCGTAGATTTCATGTAAACCCTTCAAAGTCGCATGAAAGTCGCACCTGAATGTTTTACATGCGACTTGTGTGCGACTTTGTACAGCAAAAACAATTACAATCTAAGGTCCCTACCACACATCAGGACCAGATTAGACAGGAGCCAATTGACCTATCAGCCAGGGGCGGACTGACAACTCATGTGCGGGGTCCCTCGGACACAGCGGATCACCGATCAACGGAAAGAGCCAAAAGATGTCAGCTCGGTCATGTGATCAGCTGTGTCCAATCACAGCGATCTCATGTAAATAGGGAAATGCCGGTTATCAGCAGTCTTCTCCCCACGAGCTGTCAGTAGAGGGGAGGAGAGGAGAGCCGGTAATCAGCATTCCTCAGAGGAGACATCTACACTGATCATCAGAGCACTGATGATCAGTGTAGCCCCAACAGTGCCACCTGTCAGTGTCCATCTGAGCTGCCTTTCAGTGTTACTTAACAGTGCCGCCTATCAGTGCCATATATCAGTGCTGCCTTTCAGTGCCCATCTGTGATGCCTGTCAATGCCCATCAGTGCCACCTACCAGTGCCTCCTCATCAGTGCAGCCTATCAGTGCCCATCACTGCAGCCTCATTAGCGCACATCAGTGAAGGAGAAAAATCACTTATTTACAAAATTTTATAACAAAAATTAAGAAAAAACTTTTTTTTTTTTCAAAATTTTCAGTTGTTTTTGGTTTGTTTAGAAAAAAATAATAAACCCCGAGGGTGATTAAATACCACCAAAATAAAGCTTTATCTGTCACAAAAAAATGATAAAAATTTCATATGGGTGCAATGTCGCATGACCGCGCAATTGTCATTCAAAGTGTGACAGCGCTGAAAGCTGGAAATTGGCCTGGGGGCAGGAAGGGGGTGGAACCAAGGGATGGTGCTTGGAGGTGGGTAGGGGGTGGAACCAAGGGACCAGGGGCGGACTGACAACTCATGGGGCCCCCGGACAATAGGGGATCATGGGGCCCCTGTGTCCTCGCCCAAACTCAAAAAAACCTATGAAAAAGGTACCAGGGGCATCTCATGGGGCCCCCTACTGACCCCGGGCCCTCGGGCAGAGCCCCAGTTTCCAAATGGTCAGTCTGCCCCTGCAAAGGACGGTGCTCAGAGGTGGGTAGGGGGTGGAACCAACTGATGGTGCTCGGAGATTGTTAGGGGGTGGAACCAAGGGACGATACTGAGAGATGGGTAGGGGGTGGAACCAAGGGATGGTGCTCAGAGGTGGGTAGGGGGTGGAACCAAGGGATGGTGCTCAGAGGTGGGTAGGGGGTGGAACCAAGATATGGTGCTTAGAGGTGGGTAGGGGGTGGAACCAAGGGACGGTGCTCAGAGGTGGGTAGGGGGTGGAACCAAGGGATGGTGCTTAGAGGTGGGTAGGGGGGTGGAACCAAGGGATGGTGCTTAGAGGTGGGTAGGGGGTGGAACCAAGGGATGGTGCTCAGAGGTGGGTAGGGGGTAGAACCAAGGGACGATGCTCAGAGGTGGGTAGGGGGTGGAACCAAGGGACGATGCTCGGAGGTGGGTAGGGGGTGGAACCAAGGGAAGGTGCTCAGAGGTGGGTAGGGGGTGGAACCAAGGGCCGATGCTTGGAGGTGGGGTAGGGGGTGGAACCAAGGGCCGGTGCTTGGAGGTGGGTAGGGGGTGGAACCAAGGGACGGTGCTTGGAGGTGGGTGGAACCAAGGGACGGTACTGGGAGGTGGGTGGAACCAAGGGACGGTGCTTGGAGGTGGGTAGGGGGTGGAATCAAGGGATGGGGCTTGGAGCTGGGTAGAGGGTGGAACCAAGGGATGGTGTTCGGAGGTGGGTGGAACCAAGGGACGGTACTGGGAGGTGGGTGGAACCAAGGGATGGTGCTTGGAGGTGGGTAGGGGGTGGAACCAAGGGACGGTGCTCAGAGGTGGGTAGCGGGTGGAACCAAGGGACGGTACTGGGAGGTGGGTAGGGGGTGGAACCAAGGGATGGTGCTTAGAGGTGGGTAGGGGGTGGAACCAAGGGACGGTGCTCGGAGGTGGGTGGAACCAAGGGACGGTACTGGGAGGTGGGTGGAACCAAGGGACGGTGCTTGGAGGTGGGTAGGGGGTGGAACCAAGGGACGGTGCTCAGAGGTGGGTAGGGGGTGGAACCAAGGGACGGTGCTCAGAGGTGGGTAGGGGGTGGAACCAAGGGATGGTGCTTAGAGGTGGGTAGGGGGGTGGAACCAAAGGATGGTGCTCGGAGGTGGGTGGAACCAAGGGACGGTGCTCGGAGGTGGGTGGAACCAAGGGACGGTACTGGGAGGTGGGTGGAACCAAGGGATGGTGCTCAGAGGTGGGTAGGGGGTGGAACCAAGGGATGGTGCTCAGAGGTAGGTAGGGTGCAGAGATAAAGGGTGACTCGGAAGGGGGGGAGGGAGTGCCCTGCTCCGATGTTCCCCCCAATACAAAGTGGACTCATATGAGCTCTCGATGGACCTGTCCATAGAACATTCTAAGAGGTCGAGTACAGAAAAGTCGCCTCTTATCTTCCCGATGGGGCAAGTATAGGATAACGAGGGACAATATTCGGCACTTTGCGACCTGCGGAGGGAGGAGTCGGCCCGTTCCTGTTCTTCCCATGGAAGATTCCATCAGCTGGAGGACGAGGCCGCAGGAAACTCGATCCCCCACACAATGGCCCGGGAACGCCGCGTACAATATTTCACGTCTCCGGTGTCAGGCCCAGTTGCCGCCGCAGTCAGCAGTTGGAGTGTCCCAAAGTGACACAGCGAGGCCCACGACCCCCCCCGCCCCCCCCCCGCGTCCAGGGTCCCGACATTGCGTCCTCCAGATCTTCTTATATCAAGGCTATTTATGGAGACAACCCGTCCCTGATACATAGAATGACCCCTCCCTCCCCCCGGATCACCTCC